TACGATTTAGCAAAGAAAAATGATATTTTAATAACATCGGCCTTATATGCCAGCTTGGCACGCTGGAGAATGCATAACGCCGTCCATGTATGTCACCACTACCGCGTGGGACTGATGCGCGTGCTTGACAGGGACGAGCTCGACCTGCGGAATCCTCGGCGCCTCACGCAGCCACGCACGGACGCGAGCAGCTTCAGCGTATGGTTCGACTTCTTCACTGCAAGAATTGCTCTCGTCGAAGTTGTAGTTCTCTAACGAACGCATACTTGCACGAACGGTCGGTCTACAGCGGTGTTTTTGTCCAGGCTACATGGTCGACACAGGAGAGCTTATTAGCAGCTGAAGCTTGCCCAGGTGAAGATCGGCCTGGTTGGACGAGATCCAGACGCATTTGAGGCGCTTCAGACGTCTTCTGTCGCCTCCAGCGTAGCGATACGTCTGGTTAAAGCTGCGTTCTTTACAGTCCAACATCATCCCAGTCCACTGCTCGTCGTCCTTTCTTGTCGGTAGTCTTCAGTGTAGATGCATGCCTGTGACGTTGCAATACTTGGACGGGATCGCGCAGTTAGGGCTCTTCGTCGGATAGGAATGCACGGAGAAAGACGGCGTGTAGTTTAGCTTTCAGCTTCGCTAAAGTGTGAGACACTGCTTCTGCTCACAGGTGTCGTGCCCTAGCAGCACGTTACGCGCTTGAGCGCCGAAACTTTGCATCCACTCTGCGTGGGTGACGCAGCACGTCGAGACTTCCGAGAAAAAAACACCACTTCCGCTTGGACTTGATCCTGTCTCAATGTATCTGCTAAAGCCAGCAAGCGCGTCCATGTGCGCAGTAGGCACTGATAACAGCACATAATCACTCAATTACACCTTCTCATCGGGCAGCTTCACGTCCTTGCTCGTCGTTTTGATGGTGGTGTGGAGTCGAGGGACTCTGGTGTAACGTCCTCATCATTTTCCTTTGGGTACACCGAGCGCCAACGCTAGTACATATATTGATAACAGTACAGATACAGTCTTAATATTATTAGAAGATTTACTAAATACTACGAAGTATATCACACAAGAAATAGAGATTGTTTGTTGTACAGTACTGATAATCTTGACGATCCCGGTGATCTCGCGGATGCGAAGGAGACCCTGGAACTGTGGGAAGAGGTTCTTGACGAGATATTCCAAGACGATGAGATCAGTACCGAATACGCTCGTTCAAAAAAAAATGTTGACGAGGTGAAGGTGAGCGAGCTCGAGTCCATACCGCATCCAGTCAGAATTCCGTTCCCAAACGAAAACCAGGCCGACTTTCCTCGTGAGAATACCATTCACGGGATTCGAGCCGTGAAAGTGACATTAGCAGATCTTTTTGCTGAGTAGTAGAGTTGAATATTCCTTTACGTACGTCCCATTACAGCTTCTTCGACGTTCATCAGCGCTACATCCAGCTGCAAAGTCTCACAACAGCCGTCGTCATCTCCATCACAGCGAATATGTCACGAACAAAACGAGCGGCGGTCTTCATTTGCATTTGTCTAGATCAGATATACCTTCTTGTGTACTTGCCGGCCTTGGCAGCCGAGAACTGCGAGACGATGTGGGCGCTCTCCGCACAAGTTTTACTTGGTAGTAAGCAGACCTTCCACGCCCAAGGGGCCACGGCCGTGAATGCGGCCAGTACTGATACCAACCTCAGCGCCAAGACCGAAGCGGTAGCCGCCAGCAAAGCGAGGGCTGGTGTTGTGGAGCACGCACGCGCTGTCGACCATCAGCTGGAACGGCTCGGCAGCAGTGGCGCCCGTTGCACTCTGTGTGGCCACTGCTGTACTGGTTGATGTGAGCAACGACAGCACTAACACTGTTGACCATCTCGATTGTAAGGTCCGTGGAGCCGAGCTCTGTAGACAGCGTGTCTGTAGAGCGCGACTAGACAGTAGCAACGCTCAACTTGGCAACGTAGGGGTGATGTGCAGGTTGGCGCCAGCCTCTCCAAGCTTTACCAGGATCTCCTCGTCCGACCCTTTGCTCGCCAGCTATTCATCGAACAAGAACGTCTCAAGTGCATTACAACCTGCGAGGTAGTCCGTCATGGCGTCAACAACGAGCTCAATGGCCTTCTTCACATCATCTGCACTGGGGATGTACGTACGTAGCAATCTAAGACGTAGATTGGGTCCATTTCAGTGTACTCGCCTCTAGGGATCTGTGTATTGGTAACAACAGCAACACTTGAGCGTCTCTAGCATGGTCGGGCCCTTTTCTCCGTCGTCCAAGACCGCTGCGGTTGGCAGTGTGAGCTCTTCTAATGAAGTGAGCGTGGGGTCACTGGAATGTAACGAGACGATTACGTTGCTATCCTGTTCCAGTTCGGCGGGATTTAGCGCAACAACATCGTCTTCGGACTCCTACAGTGGCTGTTGAGGAGGCTACGCTGCGTGCTGGATCGCTAGCGAACGCAATGGCAAAATGTGCGCGCTGGACGCGTATCCGTTTGCTTCAGAGAACGGCAATATGGCAAGCTACTTGACAAATGCCTGCCCAGAATTTGAAGTTGGTGTGACCGGTTACGAACTCGTTCGTGAAGATCCTGGCGCGGTTGATGATGCCGTGCGCAATCAATGTCGACCTTCCTGTACAGCGATCGACTGCTTTCCAGTACTACTCAGGTGGCGTGCTTACGGGCGCGAACTGCAATAAGACCTCGGGACTTGGAGTGGGTTTGGTGAGAGGGAAGATAGCATTCTGTACTGGCGCATTAAGAAGCAGTGGGGATACTTCATTGTGTGAAGATGGTTACGTTCGTGTCCAGCGCAGCTTCTCCGGAGACAGCAAGATGCATGCTGTGTCGAGCTGTACGCGACCTGGTCTACCTTTGACGTCTCGGCAGCCCTACTTCGTCTCCGACACCAATACATCCGCTCCTCCCTTTACCTCCACCCCCTTCGACACAACTGTAACGCCTTGGGTTCCCCCGGTCACGACAGTGGCGCCTTCAACTAGCCCGGGCACAGACATACCTTCAACAGCAGAAACCGTGGTGGATCAACCTGCGGCGCAAGTGCGGCATTAAGCTCTGAGCTCCACCATCACAAAGGGTGGCGTTGATCAAGTGACAAGCGCCACATCAGGTTCGATCGCGCAAATGAGGCGGTAACACGGACGCAGCCGATGACTCACTCGATTCGATGGAGACACCTGCAGCAACTGCGATTGTCCAAGTGTTGCTGGTGATGCGTTCTACACCGCAACAAGCACGGGCAACTGGGAATATGCTTCCGATACTAGAGATTTTCATGATGGATTAACCATGCCGTACTTGAAGCTGCTGGTAACGACCGCAGCATTCACCCCCTGCGAGATATTAATAGCCGACTGCCCCGCCTCAATCTTGGCGCCCAAAACGCCACGTCTGACGCTCGACCTCGACGATCTTGATGCTGTTATTCTCGGGACAGGAGACCGAGATGACCTTGCCGCCAGGTTGGCTGGGTGGCTCCCTCCACTTCTGTATGAGCAGTCTCGCGGCCCACCAACACAGCGAGCGAGTCGTGAAGACGGTACCGTCCGGCGAGGCACCGACGTAGTCGTTCTCTTTGTCCATTGGGGCGACGGCCAGCTCTAGCAGCTTGGGTATCATGCCACAAACACACTGGCGTTGTAAGTGCGGCTGGCGTTGAGCCGTTTGGGGCGCTGTGATTTATTAATATTTGATATGAATTAACGTATCGCACTTAGTGCACTGGACATTTAAATCGTAGGGTTGAAACAAGTTATTTAATCCTTTCGACATGGCTTTAGATGCCCGGCCATTGGCCTGCGGCCAAAACCCATGGCCTTTGCCAACACTGCAAGCCGCGTCGTGCAGCACACATGTTAAAGAGAGATGCCGCACAGAAGGCTGCACTCATAGCACGGCGACAGTGCACCAGGGCACGCGCCCCCGTAGCCTGTAGCCAGCGTCTGTGCGAGTCGTCGCTTTAGAAAATGCGAACTTAAGTGCGAAATTGAGCCTCTATGTTCGACGCCTCTTTTATTATTTGTGCTCAGTAATTGTGCACTCTTCGACCTACAAATTGGACACGTCTCTCCCGCTATTTGTCATAAATCGACCACGAGCGCTTGATTTGGCTTGTCGTAGTATTAAAAAAGCCCGATTTATTAGCCACTCTAACTCGATCTTCCTATCCCTTTTTATTCTCAATTTACAAAATGACCTCAGTTTATTAAAAATCGAGCACCAACTCTAGTGATAAACGACAAAAGCTTTGCAAAGCACAATACATGTATACATACCGGTATGTAGACCTCCACTAATTTCGGCTTCATGTCCGGAAGACTTGTAAAAAGGCAATGGAGTATCGCACTCTCTAAGAGCACGTAAAATGGTGATAATTTTCAGATATAAAACGCTATAGAATTTAGATGTTTTTGTTGAGGCAAACCAAACTGTGACAGACTAAAATTTAGTCCGGACGATTTTCGTACATTCGGCAACTGCATTTACAAATCGTATGTGTTCTCGACGTCAAGGAATGATACAAACAATTTCAAGGCTGCTGGCTACTGGTTACTGACATAAACTAAATTCAAAGTTTTTCTCAGCCACTTCGTAGTCGTAGGCTACACATGTCCACTTGCTGTCCTCTCACTTAAGCAATATCAAGTTTACTCCATAGTAATCTCTGGGAACGGAGTCGGTGAAACTAAATTATATCATACACGACAGGATATCAGATTTCTCAAGGAGAGGTTATACGGTACGGTATACTGTGTTTACGAGCAACACAACCGCGATCGTGCGACGAGCTCCAATCCGAATATTTTCTTGATCTTGGGATTGTACCTCCCAAAAGCTGATCGAGAACAGTTCGCAACTTGCGCTTTGACACCTACGCGGCAAGAATCCCCCGAACCGAAACATGCGTCTATTCCACGTGCTTCTATCAGCCTGTATTGCTCTATATGCAACCAGAACAGGTTTCGCGGCAGCCGACCCCACTCGTAACCTAATGACTTTTGATGCCATCAATGAAGAGAGAAGTAACGACGAAACGAAGGCCCCGACAAAGAAGAAAAAGAAGCACACAGTTTCCTCTTCCGACTCGGGTTCCGATACCGATGACAGCGAGTTGGGCAGCAGCGAGTTGGCTAGCTTGCTGGATATGAGCGGTAGTGGACTCGACGATCTGTTTTCTCTGAGTGGCAGTGAGTTGGACGCGATTTTTGGCTCTCTGCGTGGGAGTGGGCTTGGCAACTTGCCCCTTTCTTCCAGTGACAGTGACCTGGAAAGTGGCAGCTCTTCGCTTGCTGCCACCAAGGCGCCACGTAAGAAGAAAAAGAAGACTGCCACTGTGGCAGAGTCGTCGGAAGCAAGCGATTCAGGGAGCGATATGAGCGGATCGCTTTCGAGTGAAAGCTCTTCTGGTGATGAGTTGGATGACTTGTTCTCCAGTAGCGACTTTAGTGATCTACTGAAGAGCGACAGTGCGTCGGAAAGCGACCTGAGCGACTTGAGCGACTTGAGCGACCTGCTGTCAGCCGATAGTACTTCTGGTACTTCGGGATCGGACGGGGATGAAAGTGACTCAACCGACTCGTCGTCTTCTTCTGTCGACAGCGATTCGACAAGCGGGAGCTCCGCGACGACGAAGAAGCCAGCGTCCAGTGGGAACAGTGACATTCAATCGTGCAAGGGAGGCTGGTGGGGCCACATGAAATCGTGGTGGAAGAACTCTTTTGGCAGTGGCGATAACTCCGCATGTTCATTGAGCTAGAGCTGTTTGTTATCTCCAAGGCCTCCAACGTTTTCGTGGACATGTATCCTCGATATATACGGACAGTTGCACACACTCCCATAATTCTTGCTTTGCCCACTAAAGACATCGATACTTTTTGACGCCTCTCTTTGTAAGAAACTTTTTACCGCAAAATACTGATCTCCTGAAGATCAGTATTTTAGGTACTATATCGTTACTTACCGGTTCTACCGATCCTCTTTGGAGTGATATCCCAAAATAGTGATACCTAGCCTTTTCCTACCTATTAATATTATATAATAATAATAATAATAATGAATATTATTATTATATTAATAATCGTTGGGCTGTTTCATTTAAGAATAAGTACTGTGACGGACAGAATGTAACTGCCGCCAAACTAACTGCCAGTACCGAAGAAAAGAGCAGTACCGGTAAAGAAGGGGGAGAAGCGTGCACACGTAAATAAAAAAAAAGCATTTACTAAGGGAATTAGCAAATCAGGTATTACAACTCAGCGCAGTCATACAATTTCTTACAAATGCTAGGATAACAGGACTTTGCCAAATCTTACTGGTTATTCTTTTATCCAATCAGTGCTGAATATCGTTCTTTCATAAGCAGACGTGGACAGGTCCTTTTTGTTTTTAAAAACTCAAACCATTCGTGGCAGCTACATTCTGTCCGTCGCTGCAGCGGAATAAGTTCGCCAGAATACAGCAGGTTCACCACGTTCTCGTTCTTCCTTGTTCTATAGCACTCTGTCGCTCATGTTTGCGAGGTTTCATCTGCGTTGAACGCTTGAGTTCGGTGGAAAAGGCAATGTGTAATCCTGTGCAATTCATGTAATCATAATTAGAGGGGTATCAAACTCAGAGAATAATGGTAACCAAATATCACATGGTATATTTTAAAGTCTTAGTACTGTTTTCGATTCTAAATAGAAATAATAGCTAAAAAATCTATGAAATTTAAAGAATTACTAATATTGACTTAGAAATGTTAGATTATTAATGATTTTTTAAAAAATTAAATCACTTACGTACGTTTCTTGACACCTTACCCTCTGCTGAATGCAACGAGGGCTCACCAAAGAACTCTGTCGATCAGGTTCAAAGACAGCGTGATTGATGCTTTTAAGCTGACGAGTGTTTGCTCTGCCATTTCACTCTGACACAGACATTATTGATCGAGATGCAAACGGTTGAAGTCGATAGAGCGAAATCAAGGTATTTGTTCTTGTTATCCGCGGATAGCCACGTCCACATCGTGCGTCTCATACAGCGCTGCAAGCTGCGACACTATATTAATGTGCACAGCAGTGGCAACACACCCAGGGGCTAATAGTAACCAAATATCATTTGATATTTATAAAATTTATAGTACTATTTTTGAAATTAAACATTGATAGAATCTCAGTTTTTTTTAAAGATAACATTCTAATATTAGCTCAGAGATTTTAAAAATATTATGTACTGGATGATGTTTTATAATATTTTCCACCTAAGAGCGTTTCTTGCCACATTACCCTCTGTGAGCCGAGGGCTCACCAAAGAACTCTATCGGTCAAACTCCAAAGGACGGCATACTTTAAAACTGACGAGTTTATGCTCTAGTTTTTCATTGTGACTGACAAAGCCGATACAATAGAATCTGAGCATTCTCACTTAATTTAAGTGTACATTCTTTTCGGACCGGATGTACTATTGATTAACCTTAAGCTAATATTTAATATTTGACAAAACTTTTGTCTCAGAAGAAAATATTAGGGCGTATGTGCTTATGTTAGCTGGTCTATGTGGCGCTATTATCACTACAATATAGTGAATATTATTAACTTCACCGAAGTTTGGCTCAAACTTGACCGGAATTGTGTTACAACACGTTAGTGCTGTAGAAAGAAACTGTATTATTAATAGTAGTACTGCAGAACGTAGTACTATTCTGTTCCATCTACGACAGAGCGACGGCTGCAAATAGAATAATATTAGTAGTCAAAAAGGTTTCTTAAAGAATAATTTAACATTTTTACAGCTAATAAACAGAAGTTTTTCAAAAAGGTCTCTCACAAAAAAATTATGTGAAAATAGCCGTTTTCATGAAATCAAATAGTTTTCCTGTTAAAACGAATAGTGAGCTCAAAGCATTTTGCTGCGATGTCTTTCGTACTTACGGCTTATTCTCAGCTCAAAGAACTGTGCTAGGCCCCCCAAGAAATTTAACATTCTGCAACTTAAACCCAGCCGCCCAGCTCGTTTGAAATACTGCAGCTTACGTCGTTGGCAACAGTTTTTATTCAATTGAATTACTGGTACCGGTTTAATTGAACTCGTGGAAATCAAGAAAATAAACCGGTACGCGGCGCACTACGCCTCCCTAATAGCTAAGGAAGCTAAAGCAATGCCTCACAAACTGAACGCGAAAGAGATTTGTGACCAGGCGACTTGCATCGATATTGCTGTCGCGAGTAAGGCCTGCATCGATGATAAAACCCACGATATGTTACAATTGTTTCCGGCAAAATGCTAAATGAAGAAGACACCCCTTAAAATAATCGCCCCTGATCGGCATCTTATTGAAAGTTCTTGTACTAACTGAAACAATTTTTGGTAATACAAATGGCAATTATACGGTTCTTCTTCAAAACTCTTCTATTCCATAACAAGACGCCATCGCCTAAGAGCTGCGACCCCCCGGACCTCCTGTCCGGATCCTTAATGCTCAAAAAGGAGAGGTGTTAGATTTGAGATGGAACTGAGTGATAAAGCAAATGCAGCGATGTTAACTATCCAGAGGTCCATATTTAAAGCGAATCTTTATTTGGTGATCTACATTCGTGAAAAGCTTATACTAAGTACATTTCGCAAGCGCGCTACTACGAGTCCTGAGCTTAACATTCCCGAAGCAGATATAAAAAGCGGTTATGCTGCAAAATCTCCAGCCCTGTTTCTTAAAACACAGCTCAAGATAAAACAACAGCTCGGAAGAAATTTTTGAGCGCTAACAAACGCCCAAAGTACCCGAAAGTGCTAAACAATTTAGCGTAATTATCTACAAAATAACTAAAATCCACCAAAACGATGCCATAAACAATGCTAAAAGTAATCTAAGTCTGAACACAACCAAAAGGTACCAAAAAACAGTACCAGAATTAACAGATCCTGTACTGAGCGCCCGAATACGGAATGCGGATTGACTGAAACTGCTTGGCTGGGCAGCGCGCAATGAGCGGCTTCGCCCTTGAAGGACAATTGATTATTTGTGTTCTTTTTATTTAAAATGAAGTATTACAAATGTTTTTGAATTAAAAACAATATATTTAATATTATATATGGGACATAAAAGAGCTGCGGATGACATCCCGGTACCGTTGTCTTCAACAATGAGCTGCTTCTCGCAATAAGTGATCACGCTTCCTAGCAACATTCACGCAGCACTTATCACAGAGCGTACGCTAAATAATATTTAGCGTACGCTCTGTGATAAGTATTATGTTGTACATCAGGGTCAGTCTGTGGACTAATGCAAAATGTCAGTTTAGTAGCCTCGATTGAGTACTTTCACTAAATCTCCGATAACTCGGCATCTAATAGTGGAATTGACATATACAGTGCTGCTATTAATTATAGGGACACTAGATTTTTTCAAACTGTACTTCACAATGCGAGGAGTTTGATTGTGCAGCTCGGTCCAAGAAACACTTGCCTAATGTCTAGCAGCTAACGGCAACCATCTTTAAAAATATGTACGTATTATAAATTATAAAGTGAAACTGCCATTTCAGGGGGGTGTTCTTATCTATAGGGACCCCACCTAGAAGTATGAGGTAGCGTTGAAATGAGGAGTAACAGGCCGATTTTTGTGATTTTAACCCCCCCAACGCGAGAGCTTCTGGCTGCGCCCATTTCCCGAAACCCCATACACGATACTATTTATCTCAAAGATGGGAACACACAGTTAAGTCTAGTTGCTAGTTATCATGTCTTGGCCACAGCCAGGGCACACCCCAAACCCCACGCCTTGATTGCTTTCGTATCGTGTATAACAATGTACCCATCCGGTAAATGTGTCTGCACGATACAGGATATTTACAATAACGTGTCCGTGTAGTGCACAGACAGCGCAGTAGTAGGTGCAAGACGGGTCACATATTTGCTGAAATTTAGAGTTTGTAGACAGCTGATATACATGTATATTTAAAACAAGTCAAAAACAAGAGCCAGAAGATAGTCAGACGTAGCTGCCGTGATCACTAGCGCGCGCACGCTTTCGTTGGCGAAGGCTGCTTGGAGCTTCATTTCCATTGTCGCTGACGTCACCTTCGTCGCTGCAATCACTGCCGTCTCCCGTATTGCTTTGCGCTGGCTTACGCGCACGAATATGGCGCTTCGTGCGCGCCTGAGGGATGCGTGTACCATTTTTCCAGTGTCTGTGCCAGATTTCGAAGCACGAGAGTGCCTGCCCGTTGCTTGTGTGCTTGACTTTGTTGCACAGGAAGACTCGCGCCGCTTGTTGGTGCTTGGACGACGATTTCAGCTTACACCCACCACAGAAAAACGTACTTTCACCTCCACGCGATTCACTGGCTGACTTCAGTACTGAACAGACCTTACAGGCGCGTTGGCGGCGTTTTCTGGTATCCGTTGTGTTACCTTTACGCCACTCATCCGTTTGCACCGGAACGTGACTGTTGGCAGTTTCTCTGGACTTGGTGGGGGTGGGCTGCATGCCGCGATGACGTAGCATTTGCTTCCAATCGTCCGTTTGTAGTTGGCACAGCTCCAGGTGAAGCATTTTAAGGAAGTACACGTGCGACACCTTTGACTTTCCATCGTAAGTCCGGCGACAATTGAAAAGAATGTACGCGTTGATTATGACCAGGTCAATAAGACCAAGGAAGAGTGACTTGTAATACTTCTTGTATCGACGCGAAAGCTGCAGTGAGTATCTAAATACAGATTACGTATAGGACACGATAAGCGTTCCATGTTAAACCGTACATATTCAATAACAACACT